GAGTCAAGCACAACTCATAGTGACTCTATGAACAAAAGACGCGAAGCCTTTTTTCTATAACTATCGCCTTTTCTCCAAGTTCATAGAGTTTCAGAGACATGTGGTCTAGAAAGTGGATATATAAATTACATAGCATATACAATTTATTATATAAATTAAATAATCATTATGTGCCACATAGCCCACAGAGGACTGTGTTGTTAATCCAAACACTGTGCTTCTCTGGCAATTCATATCTACCAGCAATTCCAAAGGAGGAAAAATGATCAATCACCTCCGAAGTGATTTTATAGTCCCAGAAACCCATTCGAGGATAACTAAGCATTGGTAACTATGACTTGACAGCAATTAGCTTGAGCTCTATGTCACAAGATATTCATCTGTATATTGTTGTTTTGTTGTTATGTGCCATCGCGTCACCTGCAACTCATAGCGACCCTATGTACAAGAGCCCTAAAGCCTCCTCTATCCTGTGCCAACCATCTCCAACACACCTTCTCCCACTTCCCCAATCACTGAATCAATCTATCTTATCAAGGGTCTTCCTCTTCTATGTGTCCCTCCACTCTCCCAAATATGATATTCCTTTCCAAGAACTGGTCCTTCCATGCAACATCTCCAAAGTATGTCAGATGAAGTTTCAGAATCCTTGACTCCAAAAAGCAGCCTAGCTGCACGTTGTGAACATAATAATGACACTTACTTTTTGAGTACTTAGAAAAAATTATATGTATAAATAAAACATTCAAAATCACAGAAGTATAGAAATGCTCACAACTGGACAAATTAGCAAGATTACAATAAACTGAGAAAACATTGAAGTTGCCGAGGATTTAATTTTACTTGGATCCACAATAAATATTAATGAAAAAGCAGTCAAGAAATCAAACAGATACGCGCCCACCGGCCACCCATGTGGGAGAAGACGCACGGGAGATGGCAAGCGACCGCCAGTCACCCACACTGGGGTGTGGTGCGCGCCTGCCGGCTGCCCACTAGGAAGATAGGGCGCACGCCCCACCGCCCGTGTGGGGGGCCGGGCGCCCCACCGTCTACAGGTTTGGGTTTCCTTGGAAAACCAGAGATGATCACCTATACAATGGATTGTTGAAAGTCACTGTGAGTAGTCTACTTGATGACACTTAACAGTGGCAGCATGTCCAAGAGGACCGACATCCTAAATGCACCACATATTTTGATCTGTTGAATGCTTCTGCCAAAAGCTGTTTAGACCTGGGG